TTTGAAAATATTGATCACGTGACCTTTTGTCCTATTTTTCGAAGAGTAACCTTGATATTTTCCCCACTGAAAGTTGCAATTTTGTCTGATGACGATTAAAGCCTTATCGATTGTCATGCATATGCGATAATAAAACAGTGGTTATCGCTCTGCGTTGACCTCAGGTCAGGTCATTTTTATGACCTGTCCATTATTACGAGCGGGAGCGACAGCGAGATCTCGAGAATAAAGCAAGATAGCGACAAGCGGTAAACGGTAAAGGGTACACACGGATAAGGTCTATAATTTTTACTGAGGTCCTTTTCAGGTCAGGTCAAAGATGACGTCACAGGAGCTAAAAGGAAGTCAAAATAGCGGCACTATACATATATATGAAGTTTTTCTCGAATAACTTTCAAGGTATCCCAGCTAGGAACAAACTAATAGCACCATCGTGATCCTCTCGTCGATCCGCATCGAAACATATGTATGTTGACCTCGAAAGGTCGAAAGGTCAAAAGTTGACCTTAGATCACGTGACCTAAGGTCAACTTTTGACCTTTCGACCTTTCGAGGTCAACATACATATGTTTCGATGCGGATCGACGAGAGGATCACGATGGTGCTATTAGTTTGTTCCTAGCTGGGATACCTTGAAAGTTATTCGAGAAAAACTTCATAGATATGATAAACTCACCTGGACCAGGTGAATCTCCTGCTGCTCCGGGAGCAGCTGGATGTTCTCTGCCTCAGTGAGACATGGCTCACTGAGACTGTCGACTCGACCGCAATCCTGTTTCCGGGCTACACCATCTGCCGAAGGGACAGGAGAAAAAAGAAGATCGGAGGTGGAGTCGCCATCCTGTACCGCAGCACCCTGAAGGCGGAGCAGCTGCGAGTACCAGCCGACGATTCGGCGGTGGAGGCGCTGTGGATGCAGATCTCCAGCCGATCTACCATCGTCGTCGGTGCGGTATACCGGCCCCCGTCTGGGCCAACGGCGCCGGCCATCGATTGCCTCCACAATCAGCTGATGCACGTCCTCGCACGCGCTCGCCCAACATACCTTCTCGGTGACGTCAATATAGACGTCTCGCAATCTGCCAAGCCTGGAGTGGCATCCTACACCCAGCATCTGAGCGACCTGTCACTGAAACAGCTGATCACCGAGCCGACCCGCCCAGGGCCGACTCCATCGCTGATCGATCACCTCGTTACCAACCGACCAGACATGACGACTGGTGTCCGTGTGACACCCTGCAACATCAGCGACCATGACCTGATCACGGCGCTCGTCGCCGATGTCAAGACACAACACGTGCCCGAAACCATCACCGTGCGGTCCACACGGCGTGTGAACACCGACGCTCTCTGTCTCGACCTTCTACAAGCCGACTGGTCCCAGCTGTACGGGGCTGACTCCACCACCAACATGTGGAACAGCTTCCTCGCCACGTGGAACCCCATCATCGACCGTCACATGCCGATGCGGACCATCCGAGTGAGGAACAGGCTGGGTCCATGGCTCGATGATGACACTGTGCGCGAAGCTATGGCTGCTCGAGACCAGGCTCGCGCCGACAGGGACCACACACCCTGTGACGTCACCGAGAGGGAGTTTCGGGAGAGCCGCAACGCAGTGAAGATGGCCATCAACCGAGCCAGCGCCGCCTTCTACGCCTCCTCATTCAGACACTCCCGCCCAAGGACCTGAAGAGCGTCAGACAGTTCCTGATCTCGTCCCAGAAGACGCAGCACAGGGCTGTCGGCGATGCACCGGCGGACCCCGACTGGCCAGACCGTCTGAATCGGTTCTTTACTTCGGTCGGCTCCGATGTGGCTGGCGCGCTGGCGGAGTCTGATTCTGGTGCCCCCTTGCCGCCACGACCGCCGCGCGTGTGCGCCGGAGCGTTCTCGCCGGGTCCTGCCACACTGCCGGAGCTCAGTGCGGCGCTCCAGCGCATGAGCTCATCGAGGGCCTGCGGCTCAGATGGGATAACCGTACACATGCTGCGCTGTACCTTCCCAGTAGTTGGTCCGCACCTATTAAAGATTGTGAACCATTGTATCACTCGCTGCGACTTACCTGATCAGTGGAAGTCAGCCACTGTCACAGCACTGCATAAGAAAGGTGACACGTCGGACCCAAACAACTATCGGCCGATATCTGTGATCTCTGTCGTGGCCAAGTTATGTGAGCGGGTAGTCTGTACGCAGCTGGTGGCATACTTGACATCTCATCATGTACTCTGTCCTCAACAGTACGGTTTCCGGCAAGGACAGTCTACTGAGGCGGCGCTGCTCGACGCTGTCACTTTCGCGACTGACAACATCGATCGAGGCATGATGACGTCACTTGTGACAGCTGACACGTCTAAGGCATTCGATAGTGTCGAGCATGGCCGCCTCTTAGACAAGATGGAGTGGTACGGTGTGCGGCGCGAGTGGTTCGCAGCCTGGCTGCGGGGGCGTACGCAGACTGTGCGGGGCGGGTCGTGCTCGCTGGATGTTACGCATGGAGTGGTCCAGGGATCCATTTTGGGCCCCGTGCTGTTCATCCTCTTCACGAACGACCTGCCACAACACATACCCCATGGTAGGATCGTGATGTATGCTGACGACACCCAATTCCTTGACGCTGACATCCCATCTAACCTTGAAGCACTTAAAACGCGCATTGAAAGCTCTCTCGCTATTTCACTCAAATGGTTCACACAAAATCGGCTTAAAATCAACCCGACTAAGACAGAGATGACCATTTTAAGATCTTCCCGTCAGACAGTCCGTTCGGACTTTGCCGTTCACTTCGGCGGCGATGAAATTCTTCCCAAAGATAGTGTCAAAGTCCTGGGTGTCGTCATTGACCAACACTTGTCTTGGAGCTGTCACATTAGCTCAGTCGTCCAACGGTGCTACTGCGTGCTAGTGAGTCTTGCGCGTAATAGGCACAAACTACCAAAATGTGTCAGGCAACTTCTGATAGAGTGTCTCGTTTTCCCCCACATTCGTTATTGTTTAACAGTGTGGGGAGGGTGTAATGCAACCCAAAGGCAGCGCTTGCGAAAGGCCATCAACTTCGGTGTCCGCATTGTGACCGGCCTCGGCAGACGTGAACACGTCACGCCATCGCTGCGCGATCTAGGGTGGCTGAGTATCGAGGAGATGATAGCTGAACGTGATATTGCCACCATGCGTCGTCTCATGACCTGCCCCGACGCTCCTGAGATGCTGCGCCGCCGAGTGTTGGCGCGGTCCGATGTGTCCTCTCGCCGCACACGCGCCAGTGAGAGCGGGCAGGCTGAACTACCCCGAGTACGGACTGAGTTTGCCAAGCGCAGTTTCCTCTACCGTGCGGTGAAGGCTCTGAATGCTACGATGTAGCTGGAGCTCACCTAGATTGGGTGCGATTTTATAGCAACGGCCGTTTTTTACTGTCTCATTTATCGCCTTTTATCACACAAAGTGTATTGTATTGATGTGTTTTAACCATCACTTTTGTACTGACGTAGACGCTATATAATCCATGTCATGGAAGGTCTTAATACATTATCTATCTATCTATCTATCTATGTATAGTGCCGCTATTTTGACTTCCTTTTAGCTCCTGTGACGTCATCTTTGACCTGACCTGAAAATGACCTCAGTAAAAATTATAGACCTTATCGGTGTGTACCCTTTACCGTTTACCGCTTGTCGCTATCTTGCTGTATTCTCGAGATCTCGCTGTCGCTCCCGCTCGTAATAATGGACAGCAGAGACGTCAATCGGATACCAACTTTTTGGTGTACCGATACCAAACCGATACCAACTTGGTATTTGGTATTTCAATCGTAATGTGTTTGGTATTTTGTTGGTATCATAAGCCATCACTAATGTATAAGAGGCTAAGAAATCGGTAAAAAGTTGGTATTTCCCTCAGTTTCCCAAGTTGGTTTGGTTTCGGTATTTTCCCGTGGTTTTGGTTGGTATTTGGTTTGGTATCGGTATTCCGATTTTCCGTAATTGACATCACTAATGGACAGGTCATAAAAAATGACCTGACCTGAGGTCAACGCAGGGCGATAACCACTTTTTTTATTATCGCATATGAATGACAATTGATAAGGCTTTAATCGTCATTAGACAAAATTGCAACTTTCAGTGGGGAAAATATCAAGGTCACTCTTCGAAAAATAGGACAAAAGGTCACGTGATCAAAATTTTCAAAAATTGAAAATCCGAGATGGCCAAAATGTTTGTTGGTTGATTGTGAGTTGAACCATATGAAGTTTTTATCGTAAAAAAACAATAGTTTCTGAGTTATAGGTCGCCAAACATAGAGCTGCAGCGCGAACTCCAGGAACTGCCCGAGGCTATATCTCGGAAACCGTCCCAGCCAGCAAATCGGAGCTTTCCCCGTACGGGGAAGGCCTATGGCGAGCTTGGGGCAGGCTCGGGGAAACCCCAACCGTTCTCTTGGGGAAAACGGAGCGTTCGCTTGGGATTTGAGACACTTTGTACGGGGAACTTTGTGCGGGATTCGTACGGGGAAACGGTATAACTGCCCAAGCGTTCCCCAAACGTCCCCCAGGCTACCCCCGCGCCGACTATGGTTAAAACCCGTTGTTAAGGTCGGTTCCCCGTACGGGGTTATCGAACATTTTCCCCAAGAAGATCCTGTGCGAGCCCCGCACATTCCCCCACCCGGCTATACGGATTTATACTTACTGGAGACCTTCCCCGATCGGGGAAACCGTGATTTTCCCCTAACGTTCCCAGACCTTTTCCCCGCGCGAGCCCCGGCCGTTCCCCGACTTGGCAATGGCCCTACTGCCTTGTCTGCTTTTTTCCCCGTACGGAGAAGCCAGTAATAAACCGCACTGGGAAGCAAATCGGGTCCCATTAAAATTGACAATGACTATTTATTTTGTCTGTAAACATACAAATATTTGTATAAACATACTTGTTTACATACAAACAAAATTGTCCACTTGTTTCCCCGCAATACAGAAACGATAAAACCACACAGGAAAATAATTAGAACCAATCCATTTGGCCATGCCTGTTTATTTCCAGACTTTCAGGACGCTTCAACGACTAGATCAATACACAACAGTCGGCCAAGCATGGTATGTGTCTGTACCACCACAGCCTATACTATTTTTATGTGGAGTCCTTCATTTGATGAAAGGTTAACATGCTTGATAATTGATATACTCGTTACAAATCAAGACAAACACTAAAAAAGTTATTATTCACTTAAAATACATTGTGAACGCTTAGCAGGTGGAAAACATTACAGCAGCAGCGCAGCAGTGACAAACAACAGGTGACGAACACGAGCACTGGTAACCGGTCTAACCCCAGTTCTAACACGTCGAACCCCAGTTGATCCTCTGCAGTAGGAGTCTGTTCAGCAGATTGAGAACGACGGCTTTTCTGTAGTCTCCCTACAGCTGGTCCGGCCTTCCGTTCAGTAGTGCCCTGGATCCACAACTCGAGTCTTCCTTCGGGCTGTTTCACACACATCTCAGCGGTCAGCTGCCGCTGAGAGCCACCTTGCTATGATCCATATCCCAGCGCATCTCCAGGAATTCTGCGGCTGTGGACAAAAACAAAAATATGTGCACTTGTAGGTATATCAATCAGGTTTTACAGCTAGCTACTACATGAAATGTCCTTTTATGGAAACTTCAGCTTACGCTGAAACATGTTGAATGCCATTTTATGAAATTACACTTATTTATAGCTTTTTCCCACGAAAAGTGCTTAAAAAATGAATGTGATATACTTTGAATAGTTAATTAAAAAAGGAAATAAAAATTCAATAATTAAATTTGTACTTCTAAACATTTCTCATTCCAGGAAAGTCATTAGGTAATAAATGTTTTACGTCTATATTACGCCTTACGAAGTTCCTCGCGAAAGCACTTGACAGATAAATGAACGCCGTTTGACAATTAAAATCGGTTGCTAGTTTATCAAGATAACAATGAAGTTCCTTTCACAAACAGAGCTGTCTAGTAGAGCTGCTGAAACAGGCTCTTTCCGAAGACAAAAAAAAAATGGAATGCGAAAGCCTATTCAAATACATGTATTTATTACAATCGCGTCAATCGTTCGCACATCCCTGTAAGCGATCGTAATTTCATGTATTTAATTAATGGGCTCTCGCATGAGATTTTCTGGCTGTAGAAAGAGTGTGTCTCAGCCTTTAGACTTGGGTGAAGGACAGGTGTTCAACAGCTCTAAGCTAACCCCCACCCCCATAAACTGCTTACCAGCTTCGCCTGGAAGTCGCTCTTCGGTTGCTCATGCGAGCAATTACGCATTAACTCCACGCCGGGTTCATACTGCTGTTGTGGGTTCTGCCAAGTCCCGTCGGAAGCCTTCCGGTCGTAACCGGCAGACGTCCCTCTAGAACAGAAGCAGATAAAGCATCAGGCTGATGACATTATATTGTCCGGGCAATTTAAGGATAATCTCAGACGGAGGTTGATGACCTCAGTCATTTTTACGTCATATTCTGCATACCCTAGACAGTGATCAAGATATTGTGTGTATCGGAAGCTTTGTCTTTTACAATAAATTTGAGTTAGTATCATCGTCATTTTATATCTATCATGATTCGTTACAATTAAGTGCTTTAGTTCATTACCAACACAGCATATCTTCCTCGTCGATCTGCGTCCTCCGTTGTTGCCGAGTCCAGCTTCTCACGCACTGACCCCAGCGGTAGATCACGACTTTGGGCACAGGTCAGTCAAGCGGTCACCACATCTCGCCGTTCACCGTCTTCGTTCACAGCTCTGTAGTGTCGCCGCACTCTTCAGTGCCAACCATTGTCTGACCTGGAGCGGTACCTAGCCCACGGCTTGCTCACATAACCGCGCGGCGCAGTGACTCTGGACCGACTTCCCCCGTTCGTCCCGTCTGACGCGTCGGCACGGCCCCATTCACGATGACAGATGGCGACAGGAGACGCCCCTCAACCAGATGTGCGGACGGAACCGACGGCGGCCGGCCGTTGCTACCCCTCCCTCCCCTCCCCTCGCTGCGTTGAGGCGACACTTCTAAGTCGTAAACAGTGTGTTGTTGAAATTTTGATGCTTTTGTAATTTCAATGCGATGAGTGATGACAGAAGAAAGAAAACGTAATGTTTATGCCACAGCAGTGCGAGAAGAAACATAGATCCTGAAAGTTGTCAAAGTTGTTTTTACCTCATGAAATAAGGGCACCGACGTTCGTTCAAAGTAATGGCGTATGCGTGTCCTCATCCACACGACTTAGCAGGCCCCGTAAACCAAGACGGCTTTTCCTCTCTTTTAGGTCGAAAATTACATAGATCCAATGTCTACAATCAAATGTCTGCGAATAACCGTTTTCATGATAGGTAACTGGTACACAATTGGTAGACATTTGGTCCAGATACGGTGCCGATTTGATAAAATTATCAGACATTATTTTCGATTAAAACACTGAAATAAATAGGTATATGATATGAAGATTTGAAAAAGAGATTTGGTGCAAATTTGGTCACTGTTTGATGCATTCGCCAGATCACCTGTCATGAAAACGATTATAAAAAATCGTTATATCGTTATATTTGTTATTTATTATATCTCCCTTCAATCGATGCATGAGCCTATAGCTCTACACCTTTTTAGGCGCAATTTCAAAAATTTAAAGACCAAATTCAAAAAGTTTACATTCAAAATGCACGTGAACGTTTTGAATTTGGTCTTTAACTTTTTGAAATTGCGCCTAAAATGCTGTAGACTCCTTAGACTGCTTTTAACATTCCCAAGATTCAATTTTTCTTTATTGAATACCTACTTGTTATATTACATGCTGGAAGTCGATCTCAAGACGTCCTACTGGCGGTTGGGATTCGTCTGGGGATTAAGTGTAAAATCCCGAGCGGGGAATTTCAACAGTTCCCCTACTTTTCCCCAATCAAACTGTTCTTGAAAATGGGTCGGGGATAACGCACCCTTCCCCGTACGGGGAATCTGATCTTTTACCCGACCGAACCCCAACAGTGGGGTTTGATTGGGGAATGCTGCTCTTTCCCCGTACGGGGATCGGTGTGATTTCCCCATGTCTTTTGAACATATTACCGATACAGTCGGGGAAGGGATGGGGAACACGGACCGTTCCCCGATCCGATAGGGGAATTGTACATTCTCCCCAAGCTTTCCCCAACACTGGCCCCGCACTTTCCCCAACCGAATTGCTGGCTGGGGTTGTTCGAAGAAAAAAATCCTTGCCACAGCTGGCTTCCCCGCCCATCACAACCCATTAGACCAATTTTAAGCAAAAAATAAAATATGAGGGTGCAGGGCAGTGCACTTGTCGATTTGTCGTGGAACGCCCCAGTTTACTCACGAATTTCCACCGAGTCTGCCTGACACTCACGGTGCGAGCCTCTCCGCTTCGTGGGAGCCTGCCTGTTCTGAGTGTTCCAGCCGCGGCCGTTCGGCGCCAGCCCTCCTGTACGGCGGGACAGTCTAGCTCTCAGGGGCCCAGCCCGGCTGGGTGGCTGGCTGCTGCGCCGCGCGGGTCTGCCTACCACACAGGGGCCCAGTAGGCGGCCAGGCGGCAGCGTCCCCCCCCCCCCCCCCCACCCCCGTCTCTCCTCCGGTGTCCGCCGGCCCGACTCGGATCGTGTGTCGATGGATCAGTTTGAGACAGTCGGTTTCCGTCGGCGGACGTGTGAGCCCGATGGTCCCTCGCCGTAAGTGGAAGTGCGCGGCTGTGGGAGGCTGTGAACTCGCCTGTGTATTATCTGCTGACCGCTGTTGGTGTGTCGGCAGGATCGGTGACACGTTTGAGGAGATCGAGCGGACGGCCCACCAGCCGCCGGCCGACACGGCCGCCATGATCCGACTGGCCGAGTACATGACCAACGCCATGGGCGTCACCCTGCCGCACCTCAGGTGGGTGGCTGGTGCCGCGGCGCGGCGGCGGAGGGCGCCGCCCGGCCCGGGGGAGCGCCGGACACCGGCCGGGACGGGGGGGGGGGGGACTAAGTGTTGTGAGAGTGGGATGGCGCTAGCTCCTCGTATTTACCAAGTAAGATATACATAGAGCTTTGACGTCGGGATTGTCCCACTGGACCCTCCATGACTGCTCGGCCGACTCGGGTCGCTGCTGAGGTCGCCGGCACCGGTTGCCGGGTGGTCGGTGCGACTGAACGCTGTACGCGCGGGGTGCCGCAGAGAGAAGGTGAAGGAGAGCGTCACGCGGATGCTGTACCTGCTCGACTGTGTCGAGTTCACCGCCGACGACATCGAGGTCAACACCGCCACCGCTCTCTGGGTGGACAAAATCAAACCCACCTTCGACTACAGCGCAGAGGTGAGCCTTCCACTGCGTCAAGCCAGAGAGCTCGCGGCCTGTCGGTGGCCTGTCGGTGGCCGGTGTAGTAAAATGCGGGGGAGTGAATGGGCTGGTCAGTACGGGAGGGCGGTGCTGTCTCTATGCCGTGGAGAACTGAAGGGTGGGTATCCTTGAACCATATTTGAGCTCTTTAAGGCAGATGATCTTACCGCATTATTCCTTTTTTATCACCCTATTTCACTGTTTCATTTTTTCGTAGATGTTGAACTGCAGCCCATATAACAATGTGTATGGAGCATCATCACTCACATATGTGATATGATACAACACATGGGCACATTTAATTGGTTATCCTTTTTGGTTACTTTTCGGCGTAACCCTTAAAAGTTTTTATTGCATCGATACAGCGGTGTTAGACCGGCCCATTGTGCGATGCATGTATGATACACTGTACCTTTGCACGCCCACCAGTAGCTACCGCTCCTCTGGCCCGTCCGTCCGCCGTTCACCGGGGCGGAGCTCCGTGTCACGCCCCGCTCCCCGCCCGTTTGCTCCCGCTCCCCGTTCGTCCGCCGTTCACCGGGACGGAACTCCGTGTCACCTCCCGCTCCCCGACCGTCTGCTCCCGCTCCCCGTCCTTCCGCCGTTCACCGGGACGGAGCTCCGTGTCACCTCCCGCTCCCCGCCCACCCAGGTCATCGAGCAGTGCAAACAGAAGTTCGAGGACGCGCTCACCGAGCGCACCGAGGCGCTCGTCTCGGATATCGAGAAACTGAAGAACCGCGTCCGCGAGCTGGACGACCTGGGAGACGTCAACAACATGGCTGTCTACGTGTCGGACATGCGCGCGCTGCGCCGCAAACTGACCGAGCTCGAGGGGGTCACCGAGTGGATCAATGAGCAGGAGGCGCTCTTCAAGTTCCCCATCTCCACCTACCCGGAGATACATCAGCTGCAGGTCAGTGTATGAACCCAGGAACAGATAAGCTGCAGATCAGTGTACCCGGAGGTACAGGTCTCGCGGGTTTTAGCGGTAGTTTTTGCACCTATAAAATTTAGTGTACTTCAGGCTATATCTTCGTCGTCTTAAGCTTTTAAGTATTGAAGATGCAATCGACTTGTAAGGTAACAAGCCGGCCATGATCGTGTAAAATGGCTTCATCGTAGATCGATTAGTTTCTGAGATATAACCGGAAATGTGAAAATGCAAAACCTACCGCTTAATCTCGCGAGAGCCGTACATCAGCTGCAGGTCGGTACCGTTACCACACGCTGCGGACAGGGTGAGGATAGGGCGGGGGACCGCCGGCGGGCTGGCTCGGGCCGGCTGAAAGTGTGTATGTCAGTGACGCAGGATGTTGCGCCACCAGACGGGGCCCTCCCGCCGTCTGCTGCTCGACCCAGTCACTGGGTGTCGTTAGTGCGGTGACGGGGTGCTCGTGACGCTCGTCTTCCGACGCGCCCCTAATGATATACGGGCGCCGTCGGTAAGCGCTAGCTGACGGCAAGTTTACACAGTTGTGGGCGGGCGGTCTCCTCGCCAACGATATCTGTTGTACGGCGAACGGGCTCCCTTCTCCAGATGCTTCCAAGCTCCCATTTGATACGACGAAATACTTTGTTTAACGACACAGCCGACAGTTTGACCAGCAGTTTACACGGCCGGTGGCGGGACGCTTACACTGTTTGTTCGGAAGGCTTTCCGAGACCTGAAGGTGCATGCGATCGGCGCTCGGACGGGGCTCTTAATTGGCTGTTGACGCCCTGCCGCCCGGGCCACCGCTCCCACCCGGCACCAAAACACGTCGGCGACACGCTGCCGTCGTGCCGTGAGGGGCCTGGGCGCCGACGGAGGCCGCAGAAACTGGCAGGGTCGCTCCCAGCACTGCCCGCAGAGCTGACAGGCTCCGTCTGTCCGACTCAGACGGACGAGGTGGTGGCGTGCCCAGATGACGCGTGTCTCGTTGTCATTGTCCTATTGGTATGATTTGCCCTGTGAGATATTTTTGCGTTTCCTTCGTGATTAGAGCCACCGTGTCGTGTTGCTGAGTTGCCGCGGCGGTGCTCTGTCCGTAGTGCCAGGCTGGCTCGGTGGGACCGGCCGGTGCTGCCCGGAGCTCCGCTGTGTCTGCTCCCGACCCCCGCGGGTGCCGCGTCTGCTCCCGGCGCCGCGCCGGTGCGGCGCCTGTTGCGTCCGCCGCCGTGGACCGGCCGCGATGATCGACCGCCGCCTAATGGCCTGTCCGAAATGGCCTCTGTCGCGCCGCTCGACGTGACCGCTTAATTGACGGGCTGGCTCCGGGTCGCCGGGTCGGTGTGGGAGTCCCGTCCCGGCCGCCGCCGGCTCCGGGTCGCCGGGTCGGTGTGGGGGTCCCGTCCCGGCCGCCGCCGGCTGGGGTCGCCGAGTCGGTATCCCAGTCTGTCGCCACCGCACTGAACCCTCCCTCCGTGGGCGGGTCGGTATAGGAGTCTCGATCTCGACCGCCGCACTGACCTCTCCCGTCGAGGTCGGGTCGGCCGCCGCCCCGACCTCTAACCGTCGAGGGCGGGTCGGCCGCCGGCCGCCAGTCAGGATCCGGGCG